TCCTAGTCTGAATATGTTGTGCAATAGTAGAAATCAGGTATAACGAAGACCAACATTAGTCGAGTTAGACAAGTTATTTTTAGTGTTATCGATGTTCCAGTAGAAATTATATTCTTATCGGGCACTCATGTAATAGAGAAGTGGAGTTACAGTGTACACACGGTGATAGCTGATTGATATTTATGGCTTATTCTGTGGGTCTTTTCTTCTTGTTTTCAATTTGGGGTTGGGGTTGATCATTCGTTTGTTTTGGTTCTTTGTCTGAACTGCGAGGATAACTGCCTAAGCCGTGCCCTAAGGGGTCATTCTCCAAACAGGACGGTCTTAACCTTTAGGTTGTTTAAGTAGGTTGGGTGACAGATCGACCATAGGACTACTCCAGATACTGTCGTAGCGCTTATATTCTCTACTTAAGTCGACTTACTAGTAAATCAGACAAGAAGCTTGAAAAGGATAATCTGAAAAGTAGAACAATAACAAGTTCTAAGTTCTAACTACTTTCTTTCCTACTTCTTAGGTTGGCAGAGTAGTATTTTCCGGTGTAATACCCACCGGATTCCCCCATCCTTTCTTCTCCACTCTCCACAAGCCTTACCATAATAATATTATAATAACAGGATTTATTACAATGCGGGTTTCAAATCTTTCGATATCACAAAAAACAGAACGAGATCAGAAGTTTGGTTCGAATGGATCGAGCGCAGTGGAAAATTAATGAGGTTTGCAACAGTTAGCATTAAAGTTATGAAATGGGTAACAAAGTGTGTTTAATGTGGCTTCAAAGGAACATAGCAAGGCAATAAGAAGATGGTCTATGAAAGACCATTACATCGAATATTATTGCAACCTTAAATATAATGAGTATGGCAGGTACATCAGTTTCATGGATGTACAGGGTGATAATAGAACTGTTATACTTGCACCAGAAATTGCATTAAATGTTGGGTGGAGCGCTATAGCCCAGAAAATTCTTAGGCTCATAAATAAGCCTGATAAAGAAAAAAAGAGTCCCCTATCAAAATCAACAATGCCAAGATCACAATCCCAGGTGGAACAGAGATAACGGAAAAAGATGTCTTGAGTCGATGCATTGTAGGCAGAGTTCTGACCTCTACGAAGGAAGCACTATCTTTGAACGACATCAGAAGATGGGCAAGCTCCAGTTAGAAATCTACCATCAGTATTAATGTCCACGAGATGAACGACTCCCAGTTCCTTTCTGAATTTCCTTCAAGGAAGGAAGCAGAGCATGTTCTTAATGGTGAATGGTACTGGAAGAAATTTAAAGTTTGGTTAGGCTGGTGGAGTCAGAAGGCCTGCCATGTTCTAAAAGGTAAGTTTTATAGAGCAGTGGTTAGGCCTGCCATGTTATATGGAACTGAATGTTGGCCGGTAAAGAATTCACACATCCAGAAGATGAAAGTAGCAGAGATGAGGATGTTAAGGTGGATGTGCGGGCATACAAGGATGGATAAGATTAGGAATGAAGATATCCGAGAGAAGGTGGGCGTGGCCCCCCATGGAGGACAAGATGCGGGAAGTAAGACTTAGATGGTTCGGGCACATTCAGAGGAGGAGCANAATGAAGATATTCGAGAGAAGGTGGGCGTGGCCCCCATGGAGGACAAGATGCGGGAAGTAAGACTCAGATGGTTCGGGCACATTCAGAGGAGGAGCACTGATGCACCGGTGAGGAGGTGTGAGCGACTGGCTGTAGTGGGCACGCGGAGAGGTAGATGGCGACAATAGAAGTATTGGGGAGAGGTGATCAGACAAGACATGGCGCGACTTAGGATTACTGAGGACATGGCCCTTGACAGGGAATTATGGAGGTCGAGCATTAAGGTTGTAGGTTAGGGGAAAGTTGTGAATATTTCTACAGCACAATAGAGTGAGACTAGCCAGTTAGAAGTTAGACTAAGAATGTCATTGGTCGTCTATTGATGCAGGGCTTTACCTGCTAGTTTTACTATACCAGCCATCTATTTCGTATTTCGTATTCTGTATTTCATATCTCTTATATTGCTGTTATTTTATTATGCAGTTTTATGGTACTAATATATCGACTCTTGTTGCTTTTTTTTGAGCCGAGGGTCTCCTGGAAACAGCCTCTCTACCCTTCGGGGTAGGGGTAAGGTCTGCGTATATATTACCCTCCCCAGATCCCACTTGTGGGATTATACTGGGTCGTTGTTGGTTAGGTTGGTGGCGTCCTACCACTGGATGCTGGCCGGAGGAGGTAAGGCGGGACTGGGTATGGATCAAGCTTTTGGGTCTACTAGTAAATCTCTGGTCGGAAAAAATGTTCAAAATTATAGGAGATTATTGTGCGGGATGGATAGAAACAGAGGAGGAAACAACGCTTCAAAATCACCTGCGCTGGGCCAGGATTAAAGTGAGGGGAGATGGAAGCAAGGTTCCTAGAGAGGTAGCAATAGACAGTGACAATCTACTGTACAAAATTCCAGTGTGGTGCGAACTGCCGACGACTGTGGTGGAGGTTCCTTTGAGGGAGGAAGAAGAAGAATGTAGTTGTCTGATGGGTAATGAAAGAAATAGTTACTCGTTGGTTTATAGTGGAATCCACCTTGGAAAAGGGTGTATTGTCGGCGGCTTTCCAGGACAGTCACGTGAGTCCTCACTTGGAATTTAAAAGCCCTAGTAAGTTGGCATATGTGCCAGGCTCACGTGCGATTGAGCCCAGATTTGTAAAAGAGAATATGGGCCCCAATTTTAAATTGGGCCTAAGCCAGACTGATTTTTCTGTCAAGTTATGTTACAAGGATCCAATACCTTCAGCCCATAAAGAAACACTTAATGACCCCTTTTTAATTGAAGTCCATGCCATCAAAACAACATAAGAAAATAACAAAGGAGCGAACCAACTTGAATTCAGAGACAGAATTCAAGGAGACTCTTTACACCCTCAGAAAGAGTATGAAAAGACAGAGAGATCGACCAATTCAATCACTGCAGCAATCATGGAGATCAGCAATTTAGAGCATCAACATGCAACAGAATCATAGGAAAACATGCAAATTAGGGAGGTAAACGATTTGGGGGAGTGGACCATTGAAGAAGTTCGCCCTCTAAATTCCTTAATCAATGAAGAAGAGGATGATGCTGAATTTAATGCACCAATCTGGGTGCATTAAAACATTATCAGATTGAGTAAGGAATTTGGGGTAGAGTTTAAAGGTTGTGAGAAGGAAGCTTTTCAATTATTTATGAAAATTGACGGCAAAAGAGGAAATGCAATGGAATCTACCTCATCGATTATGGAGACAGTCATACCAAAAAAGAAGCAAAGCAAAGAAGTTAGAAATTTAGATATGGAGAGCAATTTCAAAAGTAATGGAACAAGGAGCAGGGGGATACATGACCATAAATATTAAATGATGATCAAAATAATTTCATGGAATATTAGGGGGCTAAATAGATATAGAGAGTTGATAAAAAATATAATGGGTAGTTGGAAGGCAAAAATTTACTGCTTTCAAGAGACAAAAGTAGAAGGGGAAATAAGGGAGATTGTCAGAGATTTATGGGCTAGTAGATGGGTGAAGTACGCTCAATTAAAAGTTAGTGGGACTAGAGGGGGCATTCTAATTATGTGGGATAGTAGGGTATGGGAAGGGTAAATAAGTAGTGTGGGGATATTTTCCATTACAATCAAATTTAGTAGAAGATCACAAGACTTTGTTTGGCACATCTCCAACATTTATGCTCCTAATGATAGAGAGGAAAGAGAAGAAGTATGGTGGGAGGTAGGGGCTGCTAGGGGTCTATTCAATGGACCTTGGGTGGTGTGTGTGGATTTTAATACTGTTAGATATCCATAAGAGAAGAAGAACTGTAGTAATTTCAACAGGTCAATGACTTAGTTTACAGAATTCATCAATGATATATGATTGGTAGACTTACAGTTAATGGTGGGAGGTTCACTTGGAGAAAAGGGGTTGATCACAATGTTGCTGCTAAACTGGATAGATTCCTAGTTTCTGAAGAATGGGATGAAGGATTCAGAAAAATTAATTAATCTATCCTACACAGAGTCACATCAGATCATTCCCCTCTGCTTCTACAGAGTGGGAACTGGGAACCTTGGTGGTTGCTGACTGAAGGTTTCAACGAGAGAATCAAAGAATGGTGGGAGTCTTTCTCATGTGAAGGCAGTCCAGATTTTGTCCTAGCTTTCAAATTGAAAGCTCTAAAAGGGAAGCTCAAAGAATGTAGCAAATCAGCTCAAGGCAACCTGAAAACGTAGAAGCAGAGTATTCTGGACCAACTAGCTGAATTGGAGGAGACAGAAAAAGTGAGGTCACTAAATAAAGAAGAAAACTCAAAAAAGCAACCTTATTGATAGAATTCAAGGAAAATGCTAGGAAGAAAGAGATAGCATAGAGGCAAATGTCCAGAGCAGTATGGTTGAAGGAACGAGACAAAAATATAAAATTCTTCCACAGAACTGCCAATGCTCACAAAAGATTCAACAACATTGACAAGTTACAAGTAAATGGTGAAATAGTGGAGAACCCTACAGATATTAAGAGAGAGATAATGACCTTTTATCAGCACCTATATTCTGAGACTGAGAGTTGGCAACCAAAGTGCAACTTAAGGGGCTGCCCCACCATTAATGCAGAAGACAACCAAATGTTGCTGAGTCCTATTAAACCACAGGAAATATGGGAGTGTGTTAAAGCTTGTGCAGGGGACAAAGTCCCGGTCCCAGATGGATATACAATGGCCTTCTACATCCAATGCTGGGGAGTGATAGGATCAGAGGTGATTGCTGTTGCTCAAAATTTCCATGATAGTTGGACCTTTGAAAAGAGTTTTAATGCAACCTTGGTGGCTTTGATTCCAAAGAAAGTTGGGGCCAAAGAATTAAAAGACTTCAGACCTATTAGTCTGATAGGAAGTTTCTACAAAATAATTCAAAGATCTTGGTAGAAAGGCTCAAAAAAGACATTGGAAAGCTAATGGATACCTAACAAATGGCCTTCACCAAAGGAAGGCAAATCATGGATGCTATTCTGATTGCAAATGAGTGTGTTGATGCCAGAATGAGGAGCAAAGAACCAGGCATTTTGTGTAAACTAGATATTGAAAAGGCTTATGGCCATCTGAACTGGGAATTTCTACTGGGAATCCTACTGAAGATGGGTTTTGATGAGAAATTGATCAAGTGGATTAAGGTATGCATGAGTACTGTGAAATTTTCAATTCTGATAAATGGTGTAAGCACGTGATTTTTGCCCTATATGAGAATTACTCCCAAAAAATTCAAAAATAAAATGATTTTTCTTTGGTGTGCAATTTTGTGATATTTTGTGATATTTTGAAGAATTATTTGTATTTGTCTGTGCGTGTTTATTCGCTAAATTAATAAAAATACAAAAATATGTCGCATTTTGCATGTAGGATTTAATTCTACAATTGTTAGTAATTAAAATTGTTTTACAAAAATTAAAAATTACAAAAATAGGCATCGTTTGCATTTTTAGCATTTAATGTCCAAATATACAATTTTATGCTTAATTAATACTTAATTGTGCGTTAATTGTTATTGGGAGTTAATTTGCGC